ATGCCTTAATGTGGCTTGCTACTCCTGCTGCAGCTCAAACTGACCTCTCCTCTCCATTAACAAGTGCAGGACTAGTCAGGACCTCAGAGATGAAAAGTGTCGGTTGGAAGATCTGTTCTACCAGTAACAATAGGGTGGGTGACTCCTTTCAAATCTCCCTCAGCGCAGTACACAATCAGGATATGGCTCCATGATCGCCATTGACACTTGTAACCACATATGGTGGCAGAGGAAGGCTGGCCATACACGTCTTTTTCTATTGTTCAATCCCCTGGTTGATTGAAAGAACATGAATCTCTCCCATTGAGCCTTTGTATTTTGACAGCAGGGACATCTTCCTGCTGTCAGCATATACTCATCAGCACTGCCAGCTATAGCTGGCAGCACTGATCAAGAGAGATTTTTCCAAGAGGCTGGATATACACAGTTGACAGATCGACTTATATACAACCAGCCTGCTCAAACAGGAATCAAAATTAAGTCCTTGTATGGCAGGCTGAAGTCTTCCACTACTTGCTTCCTCTGCTGTGGTCTGCAATAGAAATCATCAGTCATAGCTGCAGAGGAAGCATGTAGTGGAAGAATTCCTTTACTGACATGTGTATTCCTACTTGAATCACAGTGTGCTTATTTTAATTCTTCCAGATATGTGCAGTAATCCAACATAAAACTTTGTTCTATGAAAGAGATTCCTGTAATAAAGATCAGTTACTGATGCTCTCTCTCCTTGCGTAGGGTGATTGGTCTTATAATCACCCCCTCCAGTAGTTATCTGCACAAAAGAATTGCAAGTAGGTATAATGATTTTGCACAATCAATTTGAGTATACCTGGGATTTAAAGTACAATCTTTAGTAACGACAACTTTTTTAGTTTTGAATAGAGAAGGGTTAGACTCTCTGTTAATTTTTTTATTGCAGTCTGTGTCCTCACTAGACAGATTCCCCCTTCTATTTGCCTTGGTAACTACTGTCTCATAAATAGAAAATAAGGGAAAATTGAGGCTGGGTGCTGGGAACAGAGTGCTTGGGCTTCCAAATGGGCTGTGTTTCTGTATCTGCCCTTATTCCCTCACTGCCACTGTGCTACTGGCTGTGCTGTGGACTTTGAGATCCTCTTGCCCGCGACCCTCTTCCCCCTACGCCCAGAGCCTATGGGTAGCAAGAACAGCTGATGAAGAAACTGCACATAGGACATTGGGAACTACAGTCCGGTGATGGCCAGCACGGAGACACTTAATGGCACTGCAGGTCACATTACCCAGAGATCCTGGCAGACAGGTGAGGAGATCAGAGAGTTTCCCCTAGCTTTTGAGCAGAGATCTGGATAGAGGAAGCAAAGCAGCAAATAGCGGTTCTAGAGCTGTGTCTTCCTGTGGGCAGAGGAGAGCTGTGCAGACTTGTTTTGCTGTGTGTAGGCCAGAGCCAGAGAGACCTGTTCTGTGATGCAGAGACCAGAGGCAAGCCGATGAGGAACAGAGTGCTGGAAACAGGTCACTGAAGACATGATTTGCTGAAGATTGCACCACCAAGGAACCAGCCCTGAGGACTGCAGCCCAACAAGTGTCCAGGACAAGGTTTGTCATGTAGCAGGACTGGTGAGTGGTCACAGCTGTGCTTATTTCTACACTACACTTTGGCAAGCTCAGTACAACAGGAGACTGCACCTTTTTACCTAGCAGTCTCAAAGCAAATCACTGTATGCAGCCTTAAAGAGATGGTAAAAAGTGCACCACCTTACAGATTGGGCCCCAATGTTGTGTAAATCAGGTTACTTATTATTTAGTATTATTGTGGTCTAGGTTAGCTGTGATATTATATACTAGTATTCAAATCAGTTATTTTGCTGCATTCTGACATATTCTTTATCTGTTCATTAATTTTGGGTCATTACCATTTACTTTGCCTTTTTGACAATATACTTATTTTACTTAACCCCCTTTTCTCCCCCCCCCCCCCCCTTGTTAATACTCTGGGTTCATTATTTGTATACCTACAATGCATTTTGCATGTTTTCTGTCTCTTTATGATATAAAACCTGCTGTTAACCTCTGATTGGGTTCACAGTAATTGTTTGTCTGGTAGAAGATTTCTCCACTTCTGAATTAAAGGTCTGCTGTTTAAGTCTTCCATGAAGCAGAACTACATAGTGGTCTTTGTCTATGAACCCCTAACTTTTACCAATGCATATTCTATATGTATTTTACTTTTGTGCAACCTACATCAATATTTATGTCCTGTATTAATTTTTTTTCTTATTACACCATTTCCTAATTTGGAAACTTACACTTACTTTTATTTGCAGTTCTAATAGCCTGGTATTTATTTCCTATATGCCAATATAGTTGTGGGTAATATTCAAATATCTAAGCCAGTATAGGTATTTGCAGCATTCCATTACCTAACCAAGTGTGTAAGAAGGGAAAAAGCGATTCACAGAGTCATGGCAGAAAACAGAGCACCCGTCATGCAAAACAGCTCCTTCATACATTTTAAGCTCTACATACATTTTAGAGCTATCATAGTAAGAGGTGAGCATTAAAACTTTTGATTAGAACAAATTACCCTAGAGACAGGTGTCTAAGATAGGAGGTGGATGGAGGAATCACCCCCACCGAGACATTGTATTATGACAGCTGCATGAACAACTGTAACCTATTGCCTGCAGCCACTGTTTAGCAAAAGTGGCAGTTAGAGGGTTAAGACAAACCCTTTAACACAGTAGTGATTGCAATTGTCAGCTTTTATTTCTTTAGGTAAAACCTTTATAACAAAAGTAAAAATACAGAAAATTGTTAGCAGATACCGTAATTTTCCTTTCCTGGACTATCCTCATGTGAGCACACAGCAGGTTAGCCTACATTGTTAACTCCTAGGACCACCTCCTATAGCTAGAATAAAAGATGTTCCTCCCAACACCTGGTTTTCTCTTAGCTAGGTAGCAACAGGCCACCAGGGTGGGAATAACTGGCTGTGCTGAAGCAAGAATTGTCCAGAAAAGGAAAATGATGGTAATTATCTGATAACAATATTCCGTTTTCCTGGCCTACCTCATGTCAGCACACAATGGTATTTAGCTAGAAAACACCAACTCAGGAAATATGCTGAAAGATACAAAAAAATGTATTCTTGCAAGGCGCCCGTGACAACTGCTGTCCCGAATTTAGCAGATGAAGCTGCCTGCACATTCAAGTTATAGTGCCAGGAGAAGGTAGGACAGGAGCTCCAGCTGGCCATCTTGCAAATTTTTTCAAATGGGAACTTAGTATAAGCTGTTCAGGAAGCTACCACCTCTCTAGTAGAATGAGCTTGCACTAGTTCTGGAAAAGTCAGACCTTGAATATTGTATGCCAGTGTGATAACTCTAGAAAACCATGTGGATTGCTGCTTCACCTCTTTTTTGCACCCAAAAGAAGAACAAAAAGATTGTCAGCTTTCCTTATCAGTTCCAAACTTTGCAATTATACTCTTGGTAAATGTACTAAGTCTAAGGAACCAAAGTCTTCTTGCTGCGATGATGAAGGTTCTTGACTAAAACTTGGGAGGATTGCCTGCCAATTCTTCTGGAAACTCAAGGCAACCTTTGATCTGAGGAATGGCATAGGACGAAATATTGCTCTCTGAGCAGGATCACAACATAGGGTTCTTTATAGGACAAGGCTGCTAGTTCTGATAGCCTTCTGGCTCCCAAAATATTCTGAAAGGTGTCCTGGAGTAAGACCAAAAAAAGAAGAATGCCAGATGTTGGGAGAAGTACCTTTTATTCTTGTTATAGGAGGTGGTCCTGGGAGTTACCAATGAAGGAACGTGAGGTAGGGCAGGAAAAACTGTTGCTGTAACTGCTTAAAAGTGTTAATTGGTGTTAGGCTTTAATTTGTTATTCACTTAGGTAATGTGCACCTAAATGCTGCTGTCCAAGGGTGAAGCAGAGAGTGTAGCCATTCTGAGCCAGTTAGTGTGTTACTGGCCAGATCAGCAGGTGAAAATAAAACAAAAAAGCAATAAAAAGAAAGCTAATATTATCCCCACAGCTGAGGATTAGTAAACTGCAATAAATTAAATTCTTCTTTTTTGGTTTAGATTATTTTTATGTTATTGAGCAATGAAATCCATTGTTGGCATTTAGCAATTGGTAAATCGCTTAACACCAATGTATTAATATCGTCATGCAGTTTTGCCTCCTCTGGAAATACATGATGTAAACCCTTATGTAAATAAATCATTATGGGCTCAGGTAAGTATAGGAAGGGGTGGGGGGGATCTGTTACACAGAAGGTTTTGTTGCAGAGAATGCATTAAGGTAAAAAACCTTTAGGCTTTAAGGTGATTGAATTTCCTCCAAAGACAGAGTTCATGTTTATGTAGGCTTACATTTAATTGGTTTCATATGGGGTACATTGTAATTCCCCTCTAAAGCAGTGACCAGTGGGGGTTTACATTAATATTTTTATAATGGTTACATCAAGCCTTAATGTGATAACATCTTTACAGTGGTAAGCAAACGCAGCCTTTTTACTTGACATAAGGCTCGATTCACAAAGCCTTAACACAAAGATAAGGATCTTTATATTAGCCAGGTAACTGTAATTTTCAAATCTCACTAAGATCAGATGAAAATAATTCAATATTTTTTTTTTTTAAAGTGTCCTACCCAAAGCAGCACCTTCTGCAATATGCAACTATTAATGCAATATACATCAAAAAGACCTTTTTTCTGTGTCTGCTTGAAAGCCTACTTTTTCTTATCTAAAAGCAGTTGGAGCATTAGAAACCACTTGTGTGTTAGGCTTTTTTGTTTTGTTAACAGGAAATTGTTACTTTTTAGCAACATAAATTTTGAAACTCTTTTTAATAAAGTATAAAGCCTTTTATTTTGGGTTATTTCAAATTAATTACATTGAACAAATCAGCTAAATCAGATAAAAGCAAAAATTGTCTCTTCCATGTGTGCAAAACAAATGTAAGCATTAGAAATGATACCACTCCAGGAAAAGCCTTCAATTTAGAATAGCAAGACTGTGCGAATGCTTTAAAAAAAACAGAGAAACAAGTTAGAACAGTGTCTAATAAAAATAAAATAGTCAATGTTCTTATATATTCCTATACAGTCAGGTCCATAAATATTGGGACATGGACACAATTCTAACATTTTTGTCTCTATAAACCGTCACAATGGATTTGAAATGAAACAAACAAGATGTGCTTTAACAGCAGACTGTCAGCTTTAATTTGAGGGTATTTACATCCAAATCAGGTGAACGGTGTAGGAATTACAACAGTTTGCATATGTGCCTCCCACTTGTTAAGGAACCAAAAGTAATGGGACAATTGGCTTCTCAGCTGTTCCATGGCCAGGTGTGTGTTATTCCCTCATTATCCCAATTACAATGAGCAGATAAAAGGTCCAGAGTTCATTTCAAGTGTGCTATTTGCATTTGGAATCTGTTGCTGTCAACTCTCAAGATGAGATCCAAAGAGCTGTCACTATCAGTGAAGCAAGCCATCATTAGGCTGAAAAAACAAAACAAACCCATCAGAGAGATAGCAAAAACATTAGGCGTGGCCAAATCAACTGTTTGGAACATTCTTAAAAAGAGGGAACGCACTGGTGAGCTCAGCAACACCAAAAGACCCGGAAGACCACGGAAAACAACTGTGGTGGATGACCGAAGAATTCTTTCTCTGGTGAAGAAAACACCCTTCACAACAGTTGGCCAGATCAAGAACACTCTCCAGGAGGTAGGTGTATGTGTGTCAAAGTTAACAATCAAGAGAAGACTTCACCAGAGTGAATACAGAGGGTTCACCACAAGATGTAAACCATTGGCGAGCCTCAAAAACAGGAAGGCCAGATTAGAGTTTGCCAAACGACATCTAAAAAAGCCTTCACAGTTCTGGAACAACATCCCATGGACAGAGGAGACCAAGATCAACTTGTACCAGAGTGATGGGAAGAGAAGAGTATGGAGAAGGAAAGGAACTGCTCATGATCCTAAGCATACCACCTCATCAGTGAAGCATGGTGGTGGTAGTGTCATGGCGTGGGCATGTATGGCTGCCAATGGAACTGGTTCTCTTGTATTTATTGATGATGTGACTGCTGACAAAAGCAGCAGGATGAATTCTGAAGTGTTTCAGGCAATATTATCTGCTCATATTCAGCCAAATGCTTCAGAACTCATTGGACGCCGCTTCACAGTGCAGATGGACAATGACCCAAAGCAGACTGCAAAAGCAACCAAAGAGTTTTTTAAGGGAAGGAAGTGGAATGTTATGCAATGGCCAAGTCAATCACCTGACCTGAATCCGATTGAGCATGCATTTCACTTGCTGAAGACAAAACTGAAGGGAAAATGCCCCAAGAACAAGCAGGAACTGAAGACAGTTGCAGTAGAGGCCTGGCAGAGCATCACCAGGGATGAAACCCAGCGTCTTGTGATGTCTATGAGTTCCAGACTTCAGGCTGTAATTGACTGCAAAGGATTTGTAACCAAGTATTAAAAAGTGAAAGTTTGATTTATGATTATTATTCTGTCCCATTACTTTTGGTTCCTTAACAAGTGGGAGGCACATATGCAAACTGTTGTAATTCCTACACCGTTCACCTGATTTGGATGTAAATACCCTCAAATTAAAGCTGACAGTCTGCAGTTAAAGCACATCTTGTTCGTTACATTTCAAATCCATTGTGACGGTTTATAGAGACAAAAATGTTAGAATTGTGTCCATGTCCCAATATTTATGGACCTGACTGTATATGATCCATACATTTACTTAGGTATCTACTAAACATAATTCAGGGTAATGTCTGATGCTACATATTCTGGTTTTTATATACCAAGGAAAGCATACCAATGACATCACCATGAGTTATGATCACATAAATGAATAAGTCATTTGACATCAATAAGTAAATCTGGTTTGAAGATGCATCCATTGTAAGGTCATCGTGTAGACAATGTAATGCATGGTGATCTCACTCCTGTCCCATCATTTTTTACCACTCATTTTTATAGCTTAAAAGAGGTTGTAAGTAAGGTATTTGTATTTACAGTTTTAAACAGACAGAAAAATAAATGCAATTTGGCCAGATGGGAAATTGAGACTCTTAATTCCACTAGCATGTATTTCCACTATTGGCACTTAAACCATGATGCATACCCTTCCTGATCACTTATGTTACCAGCTGCTAAAGCAGAACTTCACAGAAAAAGGGAAGTTCCACTGTATGCCCCCTTCTTCCCATCACTTTTGGAACTTTTTTTTCAAGGGGGGGAACAGGTACCTAGTTTTGTCAGGTACCTCCTCCCACTTCTGCTGCAATATGCCTAGTTCTCTGGCACCACCTCCACTCGCAGCCTCCAGGGAGGCAGTGGGTCCATTCACAAAGTGCAGTGAGATTCACACATGAGCAGTGGTGAGCTGGTTATGAACTTGCAAGAGGTCACAACCAGCTTCCCACAGTACACATGCTAGTACTGGGGACCTAAGACTGGCAAAGAACAGGCCTGGGTGAGGGCAGTGCTGAATTCCTGGATTAGCAAGTGTCCTTTACTTAAAAAGTCAGCAGCCACAGCATTTATAGCTGCTGGCTTTAAATGTTTGTGTCATACTGAGAAAAAAAGGTTTATACAGGTAGTATACAAGATGTAAGGGGTCCAAGTAGATAACTTTTTATTGGGGTCAAAGCCAACCAAAATTTTCCAACCTCCCAACCAAAGCTTCACATTCCAACCTGAACATGACTAAACAGGATCAGGTTACTCTATCTTTTAAACTACAGTAGAATTAGGATGGGAACTGAGAACAATGAAAACCATGGCCAGGATCCTAGTGGATGACTTTGTCCACATGGTGCCTGATAGTAAATAAGATGATTTTTCTTCTGTATGGTGCTGCCAAATAGCTGGATAAAGACACAATAGAGGCTGGGTGGGTTTCTAAGAGTCATGAATCAGACCTCCCCTTATAATTTTTCTGACATGTATAGTAAACTGACAGGAATTAGCAAACAAGGAAGGAGGAATCTAGGGACTGATAGGCTACATAATGGAGGTGCTGTGTGCCAAATTATTGACAATATATTAAAAAAGGTACATGGAATGCATTGTCATCTTTCAATGTATGTCTTCATCTAGTTATGAAATTTGTTTAGTACATGGATGTTAATCTCAAATTTAAGAATTTCATTTTATAGTCAGTGGTATGTTTATATGTACAGTATATCACCACTTCTTTTGTTCTGTATGCTAGGCAGAGTTTTCAATATCTGTTCTAATTCTGTATACATGAGCCTCATATAACACCACTTCTCATGTTTTGTATAACCAGTGTAATTTTCAGTATCTGTTCTGATTCATTATTTATGGGTACTGCAAAGTACTAGTCCTTTTGTTTTGAATGCTGGGTGTAATTCTAAGCATTCTCGCCCATTCAGTATGTATGGACAATGCATACTACAACATTTCTTCTTCTGAATGGTGAGTACAATCCTCAGTATGTGTTATTCTCTGTATAAATGGATGCTGCACACTTAACAGACAGGACATTAAAAATGAACTGAATTTATTAATACTAATACCCACCTTTTTCCAGCTCTCAGAAGTTCAAAGCCTTCATTTATTTGGGTAAAAGGCAAAGTATGAGTCACTAAACCATCCAGGTCAAATTTGCCGGCCATGTAGTCAGAAACCAACTGGGGCACTGAGTCCAAACTTTTAAAACCTGAAAAAAGCCAGACTCTGGTTCATTCTGGCTCAGTTAGATACAAAAAATACACACAAGTAAACATACTACACATTAGGTATATACTCATATATATATATATATATATATATATATATATATATATATTATGCCATGTAAGGGCTCGTCGGCCCACTTGTATTAAAAAAAGAAAGATAAGTTAACACCAGAACAAACATCTTTCCTTGGAGGGGGTTTCTGCTTTCAACACAAAATATTGTTCAGGCTCCTAGCTCTCTAACAGCACCACTGCTCAGGCTGTGTGTTGTGTGCTGGTTGTCTTCATCACCTGGTCCCAGGACTGGAGATTTCCTCCCTCCCAAATCTCTATGAAATCTCCAGGCTCCAGGTCCCAAACCACTGAGGAAACTGAAAAAACAGTTTCCTCCAGCTTAAGCAATCACCCTGGAGCCCCTCTACCTGTCTTTTTGAGAATCCTGGATATATATATATATATAATATATACACACACACACACACACACTACATACCATATTTATTGCATTGTTTGCTTTGACTGTTCCTGCACATGAAAATGTAGGAGCTGGGGTCTCTAAATTCCAGTCCCCCTGCCTTTTATGTGTGCTGCATGTGTGCTTTTGTTGCCTTGTCATACTCCACTATAAAAGGAGACATTTATAAAACAAATTAACTACTTGACCTTCTTCTAAAAGGTTTTACCCCCTTCCTGACCAGGCTGTTTTTGCTATTCAGTGCTTTGCTACTTTAACTTTCAATTACACGGTCATATAACAAATTATATCATCTTTTTCTTACAAATAGAGCTTTCTTTTGGGGTTTTTAATTTTTTACTATATAAACAAAAAAAGACCAACAATTTGAAAGAAAAAGGAAAAAAAAAAATAATATTTTCTAATTTCTGTAAGAAAACATATTCAGTAAAACTAAATTTCTTCATAAATTTAGGTCAACAAGTATTCTGGTACATGTCTTTTGTAAAAAAAAAATCCAAATAAGTGTATATTAATTGGTTTGTGTGAAAGTTATAGTGTTTACAAACTATGGTGTGTGTATATATATTTGAAAACTAATATATTCTGATGTACTGACATCTAATTTCTTGAGGCCCTAAAATGCCAGTACAATACAAATACCCCCCAACTGATCCCTTTTTAGACAGTAGACAGTTTGAGGTATTTAGTAAGAGGCATGGTGAGTTTTTTGGTGTTGTAAATTTTTTTTTTGTCCTAACTTTTTGGAAAATGAAGAAATTAATTTGTTTTCACATTTTCTTTTGTACTGTCACCAGTGCAGTACAGTGTCATCATATGACTGGTGTGGCAGTGTTGAAGGATAATGACTGGTGACAGTATGTTAAAAAAAAATATATCTATATTCAATTTTTTTTTTTTTTTTTTTTTTTAACTTTTAACTATTTTTGTTTTTACATACATTCAGAGTAGTTCAGCGTCACTGCCCTGAGAGGGTGATCAGGGATCTTTTTTTTCACACTTTGATTGCTGTTACAGTGATGATTGCTGTAACAGCAATGTTTGAACTGTCATGAATGGGTTACATTCAAAACAGTTGTGCTTAGTATTGTGATGCAGTGATTGGTCCACAGCTATTACATGGTACAGGTTGCTGTGATTGGCCCAGGCACCATGTAATAGCTGTGTGCCAATCACAGCATCACAATACAAAGCACAACTATTTTGAATGAAACCCATTCATAACAGTTGTCTTGACACTGAGATTATGTGATCCCAGCTGCTCACAGCAGCCAGTTACCATGATCCACCATGACCGGTAAACACAGCAGTCACAGGAGTAGCGCGCTCCGCGCCCCTTGGCTAGATGATATGTTGCACATGTTAGTGATCCAGCCTGCCCGGGTCACCAGCCTGCAGTAAATGTACTGTGGGTGGGCGGCAATTGGTTATTGAAAAATTTAGATCTAAATATTTCAGTTAATAAAGTCTAAGCTTAATGAGCATTTTTATCCCCTGCCCCAGTCATTTTGAGCAGCAACTTGCAACTGATTTGCACAGATCTAGTCTGTTTTTTTCACTGGAGACACACTCAAAACAGATTCACAAGGAAGTAGTCTTCAAAGGTTTAATTCTGTTACAGTGCTACTTAAAGCTGGACTTCATCTAAAACGTGAAGTTCCACTTTTCCTCCTCTTACCCCCCTCTTCTACAACGCTTGGAGGTTGTTGCTGGGAGCTAGAGCCTATTTCTTATAGGTGCCCACTCCCACTTCTGCTCTTCTTGCCTAGGGGAGAAAAGCTGAAATTCTGCCACCTCCTTCCTGCCTGCAACGTCCTGAGACACGTCACAAGTCCCAGCAGGTTGTGGGACCAGTCCGAATGCGTAGCATGTCCCACACATGAACAGTGGGGAGCTGGCTGTGAAACAGGAAATCACAGCCAGCTTCCCACAAGCAAGATGGTGGCACTGAGGTCCCAAAGACTGGTGAAGAACCAGCCCAGGTGATGACAACTCTGGACTCCTGGACTGGTAAGTGTCTGTTTGCAAAAAAAATTCTGTAGCTGTTGATATTTGATAAAGGACTGTAGCTCTTTAAGTCCAGCTAAGGAGGGATTTTTGAATAAAGCTGCCTAAATATAATAGATCTATTTTATAACATGACTCAAATCTGCTTCATTACTCCTCTTTAGCAATGTTTACCTGTGAACAGAATTGGTAAATACCCCCTATATTCATTAATATTTACCTTACCCACCGCTACTTCATCCATTGCTAAAATAAACAAACACATACATATATATGTGCTGTGAAATGTAGGGGAGATTTGTGGGCACCTAAAGGTCTGTTACACACCTATATAATGCTACTCTACTAATTTAGGATTACAAGAAGTAACAATAAAAGTAACTTGACTGTGCATTTAGAAAAGTCAATATACTAGAACAGCGATGTTATATGATCATTTTAGATAAAGAGTTAATTCTTCTGGTTAATTTTTAAAATGGGATTAGCTTTTGGCAACATTTTTAATATGTGGAAAGTCTCAATATAGTGGAAGTTTGCCATTGTCAACAAGTACTGATAGTTTTAAAAGGTCACTTTAGAAGCTAGTGTTTCCACAGAGGTTAAAACAGGTAAATATTAAAATTCAGTGTGATAAAAGGTCACTACACTTCAGCAATCCTGAACTCTGACTTCAAAAAGAAAAAGAATATGAAATATGTAAAAGTAACAACATTTAATTCAAGCTATGGTATCTGTTATGTTTTCTTTATTTATAGTTATATTAAACCATACATTTTTGGGGGGTGAATCTTTTTCTCTGTGAAACGGTATTCCCCCTGCACTTTTATGGGCCTGTAAATAGTTGTGAAGCTGCTAACACCCCAATCCTATACCTATAGGTGTAAATCAAAATACTCAAATAAATTGGTACAGCGCTAAAATCAATCAACTTGGTCCTAAATTGGACCCAATGTATGGTGAAATAAAATAATAAAACTCCCCAATCCCAAAAATCAGGATAATGAACATACACCGAGTGTATGCGCAGTGAATCCCAAATGCGGGATAATCATAGAAACAGAGTGACAAGAGCTTAAACCCCAAAACGATAAGCACATATAACTATATAATTCACAACACTAACACATGTGATAAAAAATTGATAAAGAAATACAAAATAGTACAAATAACAATAATATGAATTCAATGTCCAATACAGTGCAAAAAATATTAGTGAAGAATTTTGCAAAAAAGGTGCTTCACTATTCCAGGACGTGCAGATGGTGCGGTGCATGTGCAAGCAAACCGACTTATATCCTTCAATGGATAAAATAGCCTAATCCTGAGGAAGTCACGTGTGGAGCGTGACGCAACGTGTAGATGCCCGGAGACGTAGTTCCGGCGGACGCCATCTTGGTACTCCCTTGTTTCATGCAAAGTACACTAATAACATGTGGTGTGAATGCCTGTATTTTACTGCCTAAAAGTGAGTGTAAACTTGGCGTTTTTTGCATCTATTTAAAATGGAATAAATAGTGTTTCACTATGAAGGATCTTTTTTCTTCTTTCATGAGCTACATGTGAGTAAGTTGGCTTTATTGAGGTTACCTACCTACCTATCCAGTGCAAGGGATATCTTTTGCTGTGTGTGGCCGCCATTGAGGAAAGAGTCTCTGTAGATCCCATAGTGAGGAGACCTTACTCGTGAAGGATCCAGGTGTGATCCAAAAGGTGTTCTGGCCCATTGAGTCATATGAAGGAGGTGAGAAGGCATTTTAGCCATTGAAGGATATAAATCAGTTTGCTTTCACATGCACCGCACCATCTGCACGTCCTGGAATACTGAAGCACCTTTTTTGAAAAATTCTTTACTTATATTTTGCACTGTATTGGACATTGAATTCATATTATTGATATTTGTACTATTTTGTATTTCTTTATCAATTTTTTATCACATGTGTTGGGATTAGGAAGTTTTATTATTTTATTTCACCATACATTGGGTCCAATTTAGGACCAAGTTGATTGGTTCACAATATTCACTATTTATGTGACACACAGTGTTATGCTTTAGATCCCTGAAGGATCTTATCACTACAATTTTTTATTATATGATTATTTAATTGTTTAGATGTTTGTGATATTGATTTTAGCACTGCACCAATTTATTTAAATCTTTTTCTCTAAACTACCTCTGTCATGGTGTGGCTGCTGTCCCTGCTCGCTTCCCCCTCCCTCCCCCCTTTGAAGCAGGCTGTGCGGGATGGGGGGAGGGAACCCCTGCTAGTGCAAGGATCACGACCCCCTGGCAATCTAGCCGGAGGAGCTGTGACCCCCCCCCCCCACCAGGAGACCTTGGCGGGGGCCGCCGGGAGGTCTCTGTGCGCCCCCAGGGGACGCAGCGCGGGCACAGGGCTTCCCGTGCTCTACGCCCACCAGTGACAAAGGCCGTGCTCATGAGAGCACGGCCCGAGTCAAGGGGGCGTGCCTCGTTGCCCCGGCAAATGCGGCGCTGGGCCA